GGGGGAGGAGGGGGTGCAGGCCGGCTGTCGGGCAGCCGAGGCGGTGGTAGAGGCAGTAGAAACGGCCCGCTCCATCCCGGGCGCTCTGCAGATGACGTCACATTCGACCTTTGCATTGCGGGACGGGTGGTTTTCGGCAGTCATCTCTGGCTTGCTTATAAGGCAGAGGCGTGGGCGACGGAAACTACAACTCCCGGCAGGCTTTGGACCCGTCCGTCGCTAGTTTGCGGGGGCACCATGGGAACGGCAGGCTTAGGCCCTCGTGATTTCTGCAACCTGGGCTGGCTGGCTTCGTCCATCGCTGCAAAACTTTCTCTAAATTAGCACGTCCCAACAGTGATTGATTATAAGAATCATGCGCGGGGCTGATTAATTGGAATAACAGGTTTATGCCTTAGAGATGCTAATTTAGTTTTTCTGGGTGGGGGACTAGGAATCTGCTTTTAACGTGCACTCCCGTGTCCTCCTTGGACAGTATCAGCCAGGGAATTTTGGAAACAGTGAACTAGTCAAATTTCTATTCGGAAATGCGTGGGGTTCTTTATCACCTTCTGATTTTAATAGCAATGCATACTTATTTTGGAAAATAGTAGCAAATTGTCTTCCTGAATTCTTACGTGTGTGAATTTTGTCCCAGGTGACTGTTAATAATGATAATAAAACTAGTAATGAGTGATTGGAATATGCTTAGGCGTGCTTCTAAGCGCGTTACACACACTGCTTCACAACAATTGAAAAAGCAGATACCATTATCTCTGCTATTTTACAAATGTGGAAATGGAGGTGCAGAGAGTTTGTTGCCCTGATCACATAGCTAGAGGCAGAAAAGGAGGCTTTGAACACAGGTTTACTAAATTCAAATATTGCAATGTTTACCCTAAGTTTTACTACACCCTGAGAGCTAGCTGGCATTATACACTAGGTAAGGCTTTATATCTTGATTTAAATTTTTCTTTCTTTTATTTTTTGCCACAAATCATCATCGAAACCCCATGGCTGCCATCACTATCCTCTCTTGCCTTCAGCCTTTTTCCCATTATTAGCTCAACAGCAGCCCACAACTCTGGCAATTGTCTGCTATTGTTATTTCCTCAAATAAGCAGTGGAAGGAATGTAAATAATAAATTCTGCAATATCCTTGGCTCCTGGAAAGAGTCAGAATAGGAGGAGATCTGGGATGCTCTCCACCCCAACATTTACCATGCAAGAGCGTTTAAATGAACCCTGAAATAGTCAGGTTAGTTTATACGTATCCTTTAACATCAGGTCAGTCTTCCTCAATTATTAAGGTAATGACAAACGTTCTCTATCCTTGAGGTTACTTAATGTCTAATTCTACTAATTGACCTCCCACTTAACACTCACCTTTATCCCCAGAAGAAGCCCAGTTCAGGTGGCCTAGGCTCCATGTTCATTCTTGTCCAAGCCCTCCGGTCACTTTGACCAGCCTCTTCTCCATTTTGGGCACACCATATCTTACTCTTTCCTTAGGGAAAACTTTCCTGGCCCCCTGACCTAAACGGGTCTTGTCTCACTGATATAAGCTCTCAGAGCCTCATTCTCGTAGCAATTGTCATAATTGAAAGTGGATAATTTATACACTAATTGGCCACCTGGTTCCCTGCTAGAGTGTAAGCTTTAGAGCAGCGACCATGACTTGGTGTCCATCACTATGTCTCTAGCTGGTAGTACAATACCTAGCTCAGAGTGAATGCATAAGGTCCAGTCTGTTTCCTGTAATCCTGGGATAGGGTCAGTGGTATGTGTGTGTATGTGTGTGTGTGCGCATGGGTGTGTGTGTTTGGAGGAAGGAGAGGTTGTCATTGGGAGCCACACCCTTCAGCAAAGAAACGCTATAGCAGCAGATGATGGGTTAATCTGTCACGACCTCCTGGGTTAGTGATCCTGGAGATTGGCAGCAGATGGTTCACCCTTTGGCAATCTCACAGTGGATCATGGGGACCTTGTGTCCTGGTGGCTGGAACTCTGAACCGTGAGAAGATGCTGCACCCTATACCTGTGCCCTCGCCTGTGGGGTTGATATAAATGGGGCGGGGTGGGGGTTGAGACTTGTGACCAAGACCAGGGGAGGTTTATCCATCCAAATTTGCGTTAGGAAGTCGCCACCACATCCAAAATGTGCTCCTCCCTGGTCAAAGAATGTGTAATGCACAACAATGGTCACCAGGGGGCGCCATTGCTATATTAATAATAGAAATTTTATGCAGAATATTGTTTTAACTTTTGCCCAGGTGGTAATCTCGTTTTCTGGTATCCATGAAGGAAAAATCATTGTTGGATCTCAGTGTTAAAATCTGTGGCAAGTTTTCCCCATCCCAGTGAATTACACATATTAGGTGCTGGACTATTTTATGTCCAGATGGCATGACAGGGTGGAACTGCCACAGCCCAAACCTGGATCTTGAAGGAGAAAGGGCGGGAACTGGAAAGAGGTGAAATCCGTAGGTTGCTATGGGTGATATGAAACATCAACCGTGTACGTGGGGTTTTTACATCAGATGGTGCTGGATTGGAATCCCAGCTCTGTCACTTCGGGGGCAGTGTCACTTCAGGAAAGCTGCATCAGCTCTCGGCTTCAGATCCTCAGGACGGAGGAGAGGAGGACGCGCCACACTGGCAATCCATTCCGCATACTTCCTGGTCCTTAGTAAATGTTTGCTACATATTGTGGTCACAGGTTTGCATGCAGGAAGGGGTTGTCTCTTTCGGTCATCACTGTGTCCCCAGTACCTGGAAGAGTGTCTGGTATTTGCAGGCTCTTGGTAAATATATGATGGATGGATGAAAAAAATAATGAATGAGTGAAAGAGACATTTACTCTTCTAAGTATAGGATAAAGCTGTTTAGGATTTTTGATACTGTTCTCGACCAAATGTCAGACTCTAGCCATATTCAGAGGGGTCAGGTCCAGTCTACTGAGCTGTCCGTCATATATGACTAAACTGGACTAGGAGGCTAGGGCAGTGAGTGGGCTCCAAGGTTAGCCATCAGCCTGTGGGTCCGACCTTGTGATCCAAGATCCTGAGCCTTAAGCAAAAGCATTCGGAGCCTTAAGACTTAACCTAGGGCTGCATTTAGACCCCACACCCACTCGGGGTAGACAGGTTGTTGGTCGTTATTCATGCTTGTGGTGGGACCCTTTTTCTTCTTGCATATCTTCATCCAAAGAGCCTGCACAATTCTTAGGCTGGACAGGTGTGCATTTCTTAATTAACAGTATCCGGAGCTTCTCGAGTTGACCTGTCCGTAGTGTATTGGCTGCTTCTTTTTGTTTGTTTCTTTCTGGTGTTTTCCAGCCTCTCTAATGACAGGTTGGATCCAAATACACGCTAAGAAAATCAGGACTTTCATAAGCAGGAGTCCTCAGCACCAATCAGTACGATCACCGTCTCTCCCACCAAAGATGCAGCTTAGATCACATTTCAGGCTGTGCTGTATTTAACACATTGTCATTTCAAATTATTATTACTTAAGGGATGTCTGGTGAAAGAGGCGACCTGAGATAATATAGAGAAAACCCTGAGAAGTTTGGGTTTGGATCTAGCACCTCTGTGTATCAGCTGTGTGACCTAGGGCAATCCATGAACCGATCTGAGCCTTGGCTTGCTGTAAAATGGGGAGATATTAACACCTATCTTTTGTTGTCATGAAAATTAGAGATAATAGATATGCAGAACCAGGCACATAGTAGGTCCTCAATAGCTGATAGCTAATAACATGGTCTTGATATAAGATCCTAATATACTCAGCTGCAGTCTGTTATTGGGCAGAAATCGTGATTAATATGTATCCAGAGTTAACACACACACACACGCACACGCACGCACATGCACACTAACTTTGTTTTTATTCTCTAGTTTTAATCTTGTGATGACAGTGGGACCTGCTCAGCCAATCCCTAAATTGGTGAGCTCAGAGAAGCCAAGTTCATAGTCACGCTTGGCTTGCTACTGCTTCTGGGATCTTGATCCGTCTTGTACCTTTGTCGCCACACTTCCAACACTGTCTCATTCTCCAGGGACACTCCCTATCCACCTATTTCCTTCTAGTTGCCTCGCCTGTATCCATTCCCCCTTTTTATCAATAGACCCCAATTTTGTTTAGGGCTGCTGCAGTGTTGCCCTGTTAAAGTGTATACTGCCCTTGACTCCATCATTGCCGGGGTGACCATAGGCCCCAGTTCTGGCCGAGGAGGTGTAAGCTGAGGTTTCTGGGAAAGCTTTGCTGGTGGAAGCACCACCCCTTCCTGCCTTAGCACGGAGAAGCGGCAGCCATGAACCAACACCCTGAGGGCGAGCTCCAGGTAACTAGTTCCAGCCAATGAATTGTGAGCAGAAGTGACTTGTGTCACTTCTGGGCCAGGACATTTAAATACCAACATGACACCCTTCAAGAACTCTTTCTCCATCTGCCTTGATAACCAGCACAGTTGAAGATAGGGGCTGATTTACCATCCTGGGCCTCAAAGTGAGGAGGCATGGAGCAGAGGCCCCAGGGGGCCCCTAATGGACATGTAGCAAGAGTGGGAAACGGTTGATGTTGCTTGAGGCTGAGAGCCTTGAGCTGATACAGCAATGAGAGGCTGCAAGAGAGGCAGGAGAGAAACACCTGGCGAGATATACCTGACTTATCTTCCCCGTCTTCTTCTCTGGGAGCAGCCCTTGTGTCTGTCTTAGCCCAGAGCAAGACAGAGGGTACTTACTGGCTGGGAGGTCCTGGTCGGACTTGGTCTGCCTTTGGG